AAGTAATAAAAGAATAATTACATGCTTAAACAGGCTTCTTTATTTATGTGTATGCTGTAAGTGCTGAAAATATCAGCTTACATTCTTTCCAATTATAAACTTTAAACTGACATAATGTAATTTTGATGGTTATATACATTTAAAATTGTATTCTGAAGTATTTTAAAGGATATTCTCTAATTTAGAACAGGATCAAGACTTTTAAACAAGTTTTAATCCTGAAAAATCATATAAAATCAAGCATCAAGGGATTTAAATTAGAAATACATATAAAGAATGGAGGTTGCCTATGATAAAATATATAAGTAAAGAATGTTAAATTTTGTATACTAACCAATTATCCCACTGGCAGGATTTTAACTGAGTGAGTGTCATCTGAGAAAATAGCAAAGATATTCTACACCTTTCCCATTTCAAGTAATTTAGCAAAATCAAAGCTTTCACCAATTACAGCATGTAAATTGGCTAATGTAAAACGACCTTAATTTCAATTAATAAACGAAACACAAACGTCAGTAAACATACGACACACTTTTAACATGAGGAAAAGAATTAAAGTTCTCTTCTACACGTGACCTCCACTTAGCAGGAGATGACGTCAAACAGGAAGTATTATCACTTCCTTTAAGTAAAAACATTATCTATGCGGTTTTTAAATTAATTTCTTAAATAAATTTCGAATTTATTAAGCTAATAAAAATGATAATTTGATCATTTATATATTTAAAAATATATATTTCATCGCAGTAAGAATAATAATGTATTAAAGAAATTGTATCTTCTAGCGATTCGTCTTCGCGATATCGCATCGCGTAGAGCTACGCGATTTCGCAACCATGAATAGGAAATGATTTGTAAAATGTAGATTTATATGTTTATATTATATCAAATTTAAGTATTTTTAACGGATGTGCAAGAAATACATTATTATTATTTATTGCATAAAGTAAGTAGTTCGCTTCGCGTCGCGTCGCAAAGAGGTCGCAGTTCGCGCGTCGCGTTTACTTAAAAATACAAATAATAATCATCTTGTAACATTGAAATGCGTTGTAACTGAATTGTTTAATAAATTTTGAGCCGAGTGGGACACATATATAATATAATATACGGAAAATAAGCGATAAAAATTAAGTACAGTATAGTACAACGTTACGCAACGCGGCGCGACATCGCAACAATGTGTGACAATGACAATGAAACTTAAATGAATTTATATTGCAATACGAATGTGTAATTATTTTACTATCATTCGTTCCATTATTTATTACTTTATCGTGTACAAAAATTGTTAAAAATATAGAATTTGTGTAATATTATAGGCCTAATTATACTCCCAAACTATAGAAAATTCTATGTAGGCCTGTTTAACCGACCTTTACTACTTCATATAACTGTTTACTCATCTATGAAAAAGTCTTCTAAATTTTTTCATAGATGAGTAAACAGCATATATAGAACTCATATAGATTTAATCGTGGGATAAGGAAAAGGTCATTGACCATGTATTAAAAAAGGAAGAGGAGGATAGTTTAAACCTTATATTCTATTGCAGCAGGTTTATAAATTACTGTACAGTATAATAAAAAAAGTAACTGTAATCAGCTTTATTTCATAAAAAAATAAAAGAAGATTTAAGTAACATTATATGTTACAGGGATATTTTAATTATGTCATATCAGATAAGAGAATTTTTGTAATCATTCCATAAAACCATTTAAAAAATGTATGTACAGTACTTTCCCAACTGAAAAAAAAAATTAATTTATAATTCTCTCGAAATAGAATATTTTCCTCAATTCTTATTAATTGAATAACAAAAATTTATATTATAGAATTATATATATATATACAGTATATATGTTCATAGAATTGATCATCATCATTTATGTATTTTCCGTGAGTTGTGAAATTATCTTGTGAATACTGTATTCCTAGAACATTTGACTTATTAATAGACGGAATTTTCGTTCATTTTTAATATCTTAACATGTGATTTTATTTGATTATGTTAAAATTCAATTTATTTTACGATATTTTATAATTGCAGGTAATAAAATTTGGCATCAAAGTTACTTAAATTAATCTTTCTTGCGACCCTCGGTGGGCAAGTGAATAAAACCACCGAAAATAATTGGTTGTAGGTTAACGAGCAGGCCACGTGAAGTTCTCCGCGTTTCTTCACGTGTCTAACATCTGAATAGAGACAAATTGTCTGCAGAGAAAATCCTTCCGGAAGACATCCCCTCTTAGCAGATCGCTCATATGTTGCGTTGCCGTATCCATCGACCCATACTAAACAAATCTTTGGTGCCGTATATTAACTATGTAAATAGTTTTGGAGCCATTTTTAACCCCCCAAATTTGTATGCCACTAATATCACTAAAAAGTCCACGTAGACAATGCCCGGACCCCTCTCCCCATCGTGTACAATGATGTACTTTTCGTGACCCCTCTCCCCCTTAAATTGTACACGTAATTAATGGACTGCCCCTTTATTACAAAGGAAAAAGTGTCCTTTGTTTTGGAATAATTGAAACAACTTTTCCTGGTAATATAATATACTGTTTCTACATTTTTACGTAATTCGCAGATGATGTATAGTGTTTTTTTTATTTTTTATTCTTGTACTGATTAATGAATGTACAGTACTGTACATCTACGGTATTCTCAGTACAATATCATTCATCACAGTATCAATATCATTTCATTGATATGTTTGACATAGTTCTGTAGTTTCATAATTCAAAACTATAATATTATACGTCCATCCTCCTGATTTATGAATATAATATGATATTAAAACATTAACTAAAAACGCAAACTTTCTTAATCGATACTAAAACTACCATTGATTTAAATGGAAAAATTATAATGCGCTCCAGAATATGTTATTTAAAAAAATTAAATCATTTCTAAAATATACTGTTAAATGTTTTATCATTTATAAAATAAAAAATATATTTTTATTATCAAATTTTTATTTGATGGCCGAACGGCCGAGCGGCCGAGCGGTTAAGTTGGCAACTTGTTATATGGATTGGGAATCGAATCCGGACAGGTCGAAACAACTCCAGGATTTTTCGGAGGGGGAGGTGATCCGTCCGGATATGTTGGGCCCATTCCCCACCACCATTGTGGGCTTGCTTAAAATAGGTCCTCTTAGTAGAAGGCAAAATGTTTATCTAGCAACCCTTACTATTAGTACGTATGAAGCGATATTAGAGGTATTTGTAGTACATATTTGAATTGTTTTAATTAATGAGATATTCGAAAGATCTCGAATACTTTCTAGTGTTCGAGTATTCGCCCATCTCTAGAACTTAACTGTGCCCTTTAAATACTTTTCAAATTCTTCTAAATCGATATTGAACCCACTGGATAGTGTCTGAAGAAATCGCCATTTTTGAAGGTCAGAACAAAATCCAAAGAAATTCTCATAGAGATATTTTTCAAAATTGAGTAAACTTAAGTATTTTCAAAATATGTTCTCTCGCAGTAAGTCGAAATTCTGCGCGTAAAGGGTGAATTTTACCATAGTTTCTTTAAGATCTAAAACAATTATTTACGGGTCACAACCGAAAAAAATTCATATCATTCAANTAAAATAATGAATGAATGAATGAATGTGACACCAAACTGTCCAAGATGGTTGTACAGCACCACCACATCCCACTTTGGGGCTGTGTGGTGATGTTCAGGTGCTGTGAGGAATGGAATTTGGTGTACATTTGGGAGGCCCTCTTCACCACACTGCTGTCTCCTTGCAACTCTCCCACCTTTGAGTTGCCCGGAATTTGGATAAGTCTACACAAACAGCTAAAACACCTGCATTAGCTCTGTTTCTATATCCCTACCTTCTCTGCACAGTAAGGTGCATGCATGACAATGTTTTATTATTTTTAAACCTTTTGTTAAAAATGGCTAATTGCCGTTCCTGTTTTCTGCACTGTAAGATGCATGCGCGATGATGTTATGAAAATTTAAATTTAATATTCTAAGTTTTGTTATATTCTAAATGGCTAACACTGTTCTTGTTCTCTGCACAGTAAGGTGCATGTGCGTATTTTAAATCTAATACTTTATCTTTAAACTTGTTATGTTCTCAGCAGCTAATGCCATTTTTGTTCCAATTTAAAAACTTGTTTGAAAACCTATTTTATTCCAGTTCTGCCTAAAGACAATGTTTATAAATATATCGAAAGTGCTCGCAGGATTAAAACATTTCTTAAAATGTTCTGTAACGCCTCTNTACACCACCACCCCATCCCACTTTGGGGCTGTGTGGTGATGTTCAGGTGCTGTGAGGAATGGAATTTGGTGTACATTTGAGAGGTCCTCTTCACCACACTGCTGTCTCCTTGCAACTCTCTCACCCTTGAGTTGCCCGGGATTTGGATAAATCTATACAAACAGCTAAAACACCTGCATTAGCTCTGTTTCTATACCCCTACCTTCTCTGCACAGTAAGGTGCATGCATGACAATGTTTTATTATTTTTAAATCTTTTGTTAAAAATGGCTAATTGCCGTTCCTGTTTTCTGCACTGTAAGATGCATGCACGATGATGTTATGCAAATTTAAATCTAATATTCTAAGTTTTGTTATATTCTAAATGGCTAACACTGTTCTTGTTCTCTGTGCAGTAAGATGCATGTGCGACACTATTACGTGTATTTTAAATCTAATACTTTATCTTTAAACTTGTTATGTTCTCAGCGGCTAATGCCATTTTTGTTCCAATTTAAAAACTTGTTTGAAAACCTATTTTATTCCAGTTCTGCCTAAAGACAATGTTTATAAATATATCGAAAGTGCTCGCAGGATTAAAACATTTCTTAAAATGTTCTGTAACGCCTCTTTATGTGAATTTTTCTCTTGAATCAGTTTGGCGTGACATCCACTCTATGTATTTAAGTTAATTAACAAAATGTTTAATTTACTTACAACAAAATTTAATCATTAAAACAACTAATATTCAATATGATGTATATATACATACTGAGTTTTCATAAGAATTACAGGTCTCCGATTAATTTTAATGCCATAGCGTGGGGCATTATGCACCCCAAGCTTGCCACTTCTGAAGATTTCAGAATTTCATTAGCTTTTCATTCTAGAAATAAAACATTTTGAAAGATTTGAAGTTTTTTGCTCTCAACAATATCAAAATGTCATCTCCTATTCTTTAATGTTTTAGTATATAACCCAAAAGCTGACCATCATGTTGAGTAAATTACAGAAAGAATAAGCCTCAATTTTAGGAGTTTGAGAATGTAAAATTTTTTTGCCAAATTCCAGAAGTCATCCAATGAGTCCGGGAGAATTGGCAACATCTTCTCCACAAATCCCAAAATTACAAGATGCCAACTCATCCTCTCTATACTACATGTGAACAGTTATATGTACATAGTCATCTGTGTTTTAGATATGTACGAGGCGTGTTCAAATGAAAGTGATTCAAAGCATCACATGCAAACAGTTTTCAATGTATTTTCGTGAAACAAATGCAATAGTGAAGGCTTATGTGCCATGCATGCACGTGCACAACCAGATTTGTGATAACTTCATTCATAAAGACGTGGCATTCATTTAAAAATGGCTGGTATGAATGCAACTGCGTCCAAAACGGATCAGAGAGCTGTAATTAAGTTTTTAACACTGAAAGGGTTTAAGCCGGTGGATATTCATCGCAGAACGCTGGCTGTGTACGGGAAAAGGGGGGGGCCAAACCCAACGGGAAAAAGGGGGCCAAAAAGGTTAACCAAAACAAAAAAAGAAAAGCCCCAGCCCGGGCAAGCAAAAAAAAGTGGGAAACAAAAACCGAATAACGAAAATGAAAACGCAAACAAAGGAAAACCAACGCCAAAAAATTGGGAACGCCCAAAAGAAGTAAAAGGTTCCAACGGAAACGGTCAACAATACTGTCACTAACATTCTGAAGTATCAAAAAGTTTGTTGCCAATGGGTACCCCGCAACAAACTTCTGTCTGAACACCACAAGAAACAGCGAATGGGCCTAAGTTTACAGTATTTGTTGCGCTACAGGGATGACGGTGATGACTTTCTGGGATGAAACCTGGTGTCACCACTTCCAACTGGAAGGGAAGTCCGTCAGCATGCAATGGAAACATCCCAGCTCACCTAGGCCCCAAAAATTCAAAACTCAGAAGTCAGGCGGAAAGGTGATGTTGACAGCATTTTTTGACATGCAGGGACCCCTATTACTGGAGTTTAAGGAGCTGAATGTCTCCATCAATGCCCAACGGTACACCCAAACACTTGATAAGCTGCATAAGACTATCAAAAACAAACATCCTCATATGCTGTCGTCAGGTGTCATCATTCTGCACGACAATGCAAGGCCACATGTCGCCAAGGTGTGTGTCGAGGCACTGGCCCATAAAAAGTGGGAAGTCCTGGAACATCCAGCTTACAGTCCAGATCTGTCGCCTTGCAACTATCACATCTTTGGACTGCTGAAGAAAAGTCTAATGGGTCAACGATTTCACTCTGACGATGACATAAAGGCTGCAGTTCTGAACTGGTTCCATGATCAACCGACATCGTTCTTCACAGACGGAATTCGTAACCTTCCTAAGCAATGGGACGCCTGCCTAAACGCCATGGGTGATTTCTTTTAACAAACTTTGTATGCATTTCACTCATTAAATATTGTTTTTTCTATCTATGTATCTGTCTCATTTCTGTCCCTATGCATCTCATGGATACACACCTTAAATCACTTTCATTTGAACACCCCTTATATGTGTATGAATGAAGTTATTCCACATGAATCATATAAAAATCAAAGTGTTTACCAGAAATTAAAGTTTATTAAGAGCACACAGGAAAATTCTATTCAGTAAATGATGCTACTGAAGGTTATCAATTGAATTGTACTTAATAATTTAGGCTATATAAATAGCAAATCATCTCAGCCAAGTATACCTTTACATGTATGAACAGATTTATCAAGTAATTCTACTATCATTGCTTTTTGAATGATTTCATGATGATTTCTGACTCAAAGATGGACAAAAAGACAAAAACAATCAATATTTACAAATGACTAATTTGAATAATATAGGAAAAAACATTCACAAATAAGCAAATATTTTTTAGATATATTTCCTACAAGTAAACTTGCAAATACATAGAATTTCTTATTATATCAAAAGACTGTCACTAAAAGTTCATTTTACTACTGAATGTAATGATTTTATGCCAAATAACATTTCATAATTATACATTTTTTTCTTTCTGAATTAATATTGTGATAGGAAACTGATACTAATCAGATAAAAATATGAATCTGAAGTCTTTAATATAAAAAAAAGTTTTTTTTTCTTTTAAACTTTTTAATAATTTTATTTTATTTAAAGAATTTTACAATTTCTTAAATAAAAATTTCCTGAAAGTTGCATGATAATGACATTGCGAAAGTTAGTTAGAAATATTAAATTTAAGTATGTGATATAAAATTAAAACTACTGTACATAAAAAAAATAAAACTGATTTATATATTTATCATGGAAGTCATACCAAGTATAGCAATAATTTGATAACAACAATATGTGTTATTATTGAAAATTCCTATTTCCTTTTTGTCAAATAATATAAAACAGCTTATATCTTGAAAGCGTTCTCTGTCTTATTTAGTTTTAATATTTAAAAATGTATTATAAATTATACTGAAAGATATTTAAATTAAGAAACAATACAAACAATTACTGGATAATTATTTGTAAAGACTTAAGATATATTATAATAATAGAAGAATAAAAATTTGTAAATTAGTTTAATTGTTGCTTAGCCATAATCATACAAAACCACTAATATTATGATGGGATATAAATTATAATGAACTATTCTTTCCATTTAATCAAGTGGAAAAACTAATTAAACAAAAAAAATTTATCTAATGGTCTACAAGTTTAATTAAAATTTAAAAAAGTCGATTAACAGATTAATAAACAATAATTGTTGCAATTATTAATAAATAAACTAATTGAATGCAATAATTTTATCTTACTTTATCAAATATTAAATTAGTATATTTGTTAATAAATATAAATTTCTTTCTTTATATATATGTTTGCAATAATTTTATTTACTAATCAAGTGATTTTATAATTTAAACAATAATATATTATAAAATGTTTATCTGCTTTTAAAATAATGTTTAAAAAATAATAAATTAGGATATTCTTCTATTCATAGACCTATTTTTCATACAAAACAATTCAAAAAAAGAAAGAAATTTAATATATACTTTAACCCAATTAAAATAAGTGCAGTATTAACTTTCACTGAATTTAAAAAATATATTCCTTTAAAATTAATAAAATAATCTAAAGGAGATTTACAAAACGACCAATAAATTTTTTAAAACAAATAATATTTATATAAACATTTAATTCATTGAAATATGTTAAAATAGTATGTTAAAGCAAGCAATATTTTTTACATAGATTAATAGAAAATGTTTAAAATGCATATTCATTGTAAGCTTCTTTAGATGAATGACAAAGAATTTTATTTGATTTATTATTTTGAAACACTTTTACTAACATTTTCTTTTCATTAATCAAATTTCATTATAAAAAATCAAAATATTCTAATAATTATTTTTATAATTACATATTATTTATAAACTTTATTTTACAATAAACTTAAATTAAATAAACTTTAATTTATATATACAGTAGAACCTCGAAAACTCGGCTCTCGATAACCCGGCACTCCGGATAACTCGGCCACACCCTAACAGGGCAAAAAAATCCTTAGTTAATTAATTTTCATTATAGACAGCTTTATAAAAGTATAAAAGCTCTCATAAAGTATTTTTCTGAGG